CATTTTCACTGAACAAACACTCTGTGCCAACTCCCCTGGAGGAGCATCAAGTAAGTGTGCAGCAGTTGTGCTTTATGGTTCCCAGGTCAGTCAGTGTGTCTGTGGAATCCAAGGAGGAGAGCAAAAGGCAAGGCTGTAGGACATTTTGGTTCTGTTGTGGATTTAAGTAGCAGTATAGCCATACATACAACTCTAGGTGTGTTGTCAGCTTGAAATGCTCCCTAGGGAACAGCTTGGGCAGCCATAGGTCCCAATCTTCAGTGTCTTCTGTTCTGGCATAACTGCTGCCTATCCCAGATCTGTTCTCACATGCTCAGACCTGGTTCTGAATGTGCTTGTGTCAGGAAAGCAAATCTGGTCTCTGTTGCTAAGATGCCCCTGGGACTAGGAACTGACTTGCTGTCAGGACACATGAAGAAAGCCAGGGGTGGCATGTCTGTTACAGCAGTTTCCTAAGTTGGTGCCAGCTCTGAGGAGCAGTTTCAGTAATGCTTTCTAGCAGGAAAGCCTTGTGCTAGGCAAAGCAGTTTTCACTCCCAGAGCAGTTTCATGAGACTGAAGGTGGTGAGTTACCTTCTGTTACCTGCCTTAAGGTTGAGCATGGGCTCAGCTACCTGTGAGAGAGGTGCACATGTCAAACCCTCAAGCAAGCAAAGCTTCAGAAGCCAAATGGGCACATAAGAGTGGTTATAGCCTCATCTGCTGAGCCGCTGCTGGCTCAGTGAAACCTACAATGTGCCAATACTTTCAGCCAGCAGGTTTGTGCTGTTGGGGTGGAGTTTTTGAAGGTGTTTATATAGGTGTAGTTTTTTGCAAAATTTCTTTATGATACCCCTAAAATCTGGTGTTTACTTATCTTTGACAGAAAAAATCTCTGATTTACTGATACAGTAACTAACCTAGTGCATTTAAGGGGAAGATACTATGAGCCTTTGTTTTCTGTTTAAAGTTTGACATCAGGGTAGGATGATCTGAAGTCCAAGGTGAGGCGGAAGATGGTGCAGATACTACAAGGCCTGCCAATCTGGTTCTTACTGTTCAGAAAAAAACAAAATAACTAGACTAAGAAGCTTACTGGTAATTAGTAGCTAATGTGTTTGTAACTATCATGTGCCTTAAAATTTTCATGGTAGGAGAATTTAAAAAAATCAACAATGTGTTTTCTGTAATAACTGCTCAACATTCTCTCTGTAGATTAGACTGGTGGGATTTTGCATTGTATTTACACTGTACTATAAACTGAAACACTTAGAATGGTTTGATTTTACAAGTATGGAGAGGAAAAAAGGTGGATTATGCTTTTCATAGAACAAATATTACCGTGACAGAATGTATTATTATTATGATAGGATCTTTCCATAATGCAGACAAGTAGAATGCTTGTTAGAAACCAGGTATGTAGGATAACAGTTTGGTGTGTTTTCAATAAACCATGCCTGGAAAGAATACATGTGCCATTGGTTATCTTTTTGTTACATCAGGTATCTCAAATATTCTTTGGCTTTTGCAGCAGGAGTTTTCTGTGACAGGGGATTATTCAACCCTAGCTCAGGTCAATACTCTGTGTTAGCAAAAGGTCAGTGGTAATGAGAGGCAATTGAAATATCCTATAAATGAGTAAAGCTGAACACTTTTGACTCATTGCCATATGTTGGAGTTGTAGCATGACCCTGGACTGTAGATCATGGAGTTTTTTGTTTTTTTTTAATATACAGACATATTTCTGTGGGAAAAACATCTGCATCACTGTTCAAGGGCCAGCATGTCTGTGAGCACAGAACTTGCTGATATCTTTTCCATTTGGAAAGTTCCTAACCTTCCTCAACTAAGTCATAAAATCTGTGTAACTTTACAAAGATTGCACATTTCTGAAATGTGTGTAAGAAAACCAAATTGTAGTAATGTATGAGGTTTCATTGACACAAGAAATTCTTACTTCGAAGATGTGCCAAATAACTTACATTTGGTACTGTGGAATGGAAGAAAATCCAGATAATGAAGAGTCACCCATATAAGGTAACCACCAGTTACCAAGAGATATTCATTCTCTTGAGGACTGTCTCATCTGTGTTTGTGAGCTCAGTGACTGGCACACCTAAACACGCCATATTCACTACCGTGCCTTTATGAAGCCTGACCAAACCCGATTAATCTCCACAGAATGTTCTGCAAGGTCTTAGAAAATGGAGGTCAGTTTTTCTGAGTGAAAGGTTGATGAATCATTGCCAGTAACAGAGTTTGCCATAGGAGAATTCCTGATTGTACCATTCATAGCACTGTAAGGTTGCATTTACATGCAAATGTTAGCAAACAGAGCTTGGAAGGTCATCTCCAGCTTACCTTCCCTCCTTATTTCAGATGTTTCAAATGCATCCCCAGGTGTTTTGTAAAATCATCTCTGGATCTGTTCTTGCAGCTGGAGGATTCAGTTTCACAAGTGCTGTGATAAGATGTGGGCTCCTGGACTTAGCATCCTGCAGCTCAGTGTCATCGTTCTTCCACTGCAGTGAGGAACCTTATTTTCCCTTTGTGGGTGCACTAATATGGCAATGAATAGCAGATGCTGTAGGTAAGGTACTGAGCTAAAACAAACATGTTGTTTTTACAACTGACATTTTATAGCTGTCAAAATTACTTCATTTCCAGCTTATCACAGGTTGGGCAAACAGAAGTGGTGAGTCCTGCAGGTGAAAGGTTAATCTGGTAACAGTGGGCAAGAAATATCACAGCCCTCATCTGTTTCAGGTTTCAGCAGTGCCTTGGGGTAATACTCTGTCCTCAGGGGTCCCCTCCCCAGTGTCTTTCTTGAAAGGTCTCTTAAGCACAGCAGTGGCAGGATCTTGTTCTGGTACGAGCTGATGGGGGGGGTCTTTTGAAACAGGAAGGTGCTTTACAATGTCATTAACTGAGCTGTAGAGACAGGCAAAGCCTGAAACTCTGGTGCTCTGTTCAATGTGTGTGTGTGCACAGCAATCCTAGCTGTTATTTGTAAGGTACCTTATACCTGATTCCTGATGGACTGCTCAGCCAAGTAAGGACACATCACTGCCCTGCTGGTGTCACCTTGGGTGGGAGAGTTGGGATCTCAGTGGTTTCTCTTTTCTTGTTGCTCTTGTAGAGGTTTCTACATGTATGTTCCCTTCACTGCATTTAATTTGACTCATTGCTCAGAATTCTCCAGTGAGCTGCTTTTCCCTTCCTCATGCCAGTGGGAGGAGGCAGTGGCTGCTGTACCCTGCTCTGTACTCAGACAAGTAAATTCTGATGGAAGGATCACTTCCATGGGTGCTGTTATGCAAAAGTCAGTAGTGCTATGTTTGACTACCTCTCAAATCCTCCTTTCTTGTACAATATTTTGAAAGACAGTATCATGTCCCTTTGAGTTAACAAAGAGGCTCTGGCAGAAACCAGACCTCACTCTCATGCACTGCCTGAATCACTAAGACAAGCTAGACAGTAACTGTCATCTGGAGAATGGGTGTAAATTAGCAGTATTTGCTGAGATCAGCCGTTTCTGACATGAGCTGTGAGAACTTGCAGAGATGTGTGTTTGTTGCTTTAGGGGAGTTCTTCCCCTTGGGAGCTTTCTATCATGGGCACTCCTTAAACACATGCTCCACATGCACCATTCCATACACAGTTTGTGCAAGCATAGGTTGTGTCTTCCAACTGCAATAGGCTGATGTTGCAGTGACACCCAGTAGGTTTTTAAAATATGTTCAAATTAGAAGATCCACTGTCTGCCTTTTCCTTCTCCCAGAATTCAAAGTGTGACTTTATTTTGAAAAGTGCCTCTTTTCCCTGGGATATTCCACATTTATGTGTCAGTGACTCCAGATCATATTTGCTCAACTGACCAAAAGCCTTTTTTCTAATTGTCAGTCATGCAAACTGAGTCTGGCTTTATTCTTTTCATCCCTTGCCACCAATAATTAAGAGCATTTCAAAAATGTAGTGAAGTGGAAAAATTTTTTGTACATATGGAATTCTGCAAATGTTCTATCAGAACATATATTGTGTTTATTTTCACAGTTTGCCATGTTGGAGATGCTTTCTAATGAAGTAAAATACCTTTTTATACTAAAAGATGGCTGTTATATTTGCCATATGTATTACAAATACATTATTCACTACTGCATCTTTTGAAATATCCATTCTACAGGTTCCCACCTTTCCTTATCTTCTTGACAGTCTCTTGAACAGTAATTTTGGCCATTATTCTGATCCTCTCTTGTAAAGTGCAGAAGAATCTACCTGTTTACTCTTACTTATCCTTCTGAGACTGGCTTGCTCATCAGCCTGTGTGATGTGCCCTGCTGTGACAGGAGTTGGGTTCAAAGGTGTTTAGGGCTAAACACAAGCAAGGATTCTTTGGAGTCAAGGCCTTAGATACACAGACAAATTTTCTGGTCCACTGTATGTATCCAGATTTTCCAGTTTTCCCTACAAACTTGTATATGCCAATAAATGTACTTGAAGATTATTTTGCATTGCAAATTTTGCAAAAATTGCTTCCAGCCTCCTGAAGGACTTTGGTCCAATGACTTGGAGTTGAGCTGAATACCAAGAGAACATGCTGCTGAGCAATGTTACAGAACTAATCACTGACTTTCAGTACAAGATGGAGGTGTTAGAACTCAGTGTTGGCTCTGCACAGAACAGTACAAAGAGTCACCTGAGGCTGCTTCTGCATAATCTCACCCAGTACAGGAAATCTTGTGTCTTTCATGATATGACAGTTATCTTGTCAGGAAAACGCTGATAGTGTTGCCTTCTCCTGTCCCTGTGAAATGCACACTTTACAACCTTGGTTGGGTCACCATGGTTTGCTTGGTCCATTTCTAAACTGACTCTGTCACCTTAGCCCGTTCTAGTTTTCTTTTGGTGATCCTCTGCTCCTTAGTAGTGTCCTGGAGGTGGATTTTGTGCAGCACCCAGGCCAGGGGAGGGGCCACTGTGGTAAGGTGGGCTATACAAGGAAGAAGCTCATAACAGGCTTGAAAGAATTCATCCTGGGAAAGACAAGAATGGTTGTCCTTTATTTCACTCTGATTTTTAGCTGTTGAATCTTTCTGTGTCTGTTTCATGTCTGGAAGCCTCATGTGCAGTACAGAATTCATTGGACAAAATTAAAAGTCATACCTTGCTCTGTTGTTTTTTACTTTTTATTTAGAAATGTGACTGTTGCTGCCTTATATAATCACGGCAGGACATGCTAGGAAATGCCACTGGATTTCTGCGTTGTTCAGGTGAGTTAGAGACTTTGTATTTGGCTTTGAATCTTCTCAGTGACGACCCACACTATTCACATGGTGTAACAGCACTGAGGGTAACCAGGGCGTGCAGGACCCACCTGCTAGAACCCATTCTCTCTGGACTTTATTTCTATACAGCATCTTAAACATATCCAGCATTTCAGAATAAGCAGCTTGCCCTGCCCCTAAAAGCATGTACTATGTATGTACAATATAATGAGGGGAAAACCAGCATTTCATCAAGGTCAAATGCAATGTAGTTTTGTGTTCTTTTGGAAGGAGTCTGGTCTTTTGTTACCTGTCACTGTATTTATTTTAATCTGTTTACTACTTCAGTTTTCCCTGCCTCTGCATGGGCAGATTAATAATTTTATTTGTTTGTGTTTTCAAAATTCTGTTTTGTTGTTCTCATCACTGCATGGGTCTGCCTTCTTTCAGTGTGTGCTCTTTTCTCTCACATAGAGATGATTAACTTTTGCAGTAAATGTGCAAAGAAGTATCTGCTCTCACAATAGGAGCCTTCACTGCATCAAGAGGCATGCTAGTAATTTAGCAAAAACAGGGCACATGAAATGGTCTTTTCTTGCAACATGAATGTTTTTTTTCACTCTTGGTAATGATTAATGAGTTTAGCTTGGAGACACAAGTCTTCAGAAGTTGCAGTGTATTTCTCCACCCTAAACCCAAATTGTGGTTGCTCAAGTTGAGCTCAAAATGACAGACTGTTGTTTGATGATGTGTTGGTCAAGGCAATGTGCATCACCTTGGGTTTGCTGAGTTAATGTGGAACAATGGCACAGACCCAACTTACTCCATATTCTGGTTTCTACCTCACCTAAAAAGATCACTAGTGCTTGTTTAATTACAAGCTCCAAAATTAAAAAAAATTAAAAAAACCTGTAAAGCATGGACAAGTTAACCTGTGCAGTTGCATTTACATCATTTGAAACAAAAGTTGATTATTAATGACTCTCTTTATCCCAAAAACACAGCCTTCTCCATGGCATCTTCCACTTGCATATATTCCAGGTGAGATGGGTAGTTAGTGCATTGGAAATGGGGGCTCTTGCGGACATAGTTAACGAAATCTGGAGCTCCTGGGAAAATTATATTGTCAGCCAGAAGAACTGAGCCCTTCCTCAGCAAGTTGCATTCCTAGAAAGAAGAGAAATGGCTTCAGAGTGGCTGTTAAGCAGACATTGGCTTGAATGTAATGTACTTTCATGTTAACCAGGTATACTCGAGTGCCTGCATCCAAAAACTGATCGTGGTGCAGGTCTGGAAGGTCAGAGAGACATGGAAGAAGCTGAGTAACTCTTGGATCCTTTGTGGTCATTTGCTAAGTTTTCCTGTTTATTAGTACAACATTAGATGCTGATTCTGAAATATCAAATCAAGTGGAAGTGTGTGCTTTGCTCCTCAGCTTGTTTCCAGCTATGTCTACATGATCAGTAAGGTAGCTTTGTTTTGACGGTCATGCCTCATGTTTAAAAACTTTTTAAATATGGCATTAAACTGCTGTAGTAGCTCTTTGGGTCACCTGAGTAGCATGTACTGCTTTGGCCAGACTCAGATTCCAGAACTGCTAAAAGAATGAAAGATTTTCTGTGCTTGTTTTCCTTTCATCTTGAACAATTTCCTGCCATTTTGTTTGGGATCTGGGCATGAAGAGAGGTTTTTGCACAACGGAGATCCCTCTGATGAATTTCCACAGCACATAACTAACTTGCAGTAGTCACTTCAAGTGCAATGTTTATCCTCAGTGAATCTACAAACCTAATTTTTACTGGTATTTTTTGTCTAGAAGAAGTGCTTATCTGGGCTTACCAGCTGTTTGAAAACAAAGTCTGCAGTTAAATCAGCTTGTTGTTATCCTGTGGTTACAGGCAGCAGCTGGAGCCAAAACATGGGGTGGTTTTGGTCACTCCCAGTCTGTGAGAGCAGCTCTGTTGATCAGGGTCCTGCAGAAGCCGTTGAGCTTATTGCTCTTGCCTCTGGGGACTGAACACCAGTCAGCACAGTAGAAGTGATTTTAGAGACGTCAAATACCCTCCAGTCTGTTTCTATTGCACAGCTTACAGAAGCTTAGAAGAGACAACATACTGGATTTTCCACTGGTCATCAGAATTTCAGATGCTCTTCATGTCTGGCTTTTTTTGTCTGGATCATTTCCAATATATACATATTTCATCTGAATAAATTCATATTCACTATTCATACTGCAATACCTGCTGAGAATACATTTTAGAAAGCATATGACACCTGAAAAAATCTGAAGATCTTTTCTTTGTCTTTCTCCTCTTAATTTCACGGGAGTTTTTTTGCAACTTTGTATCACAGTTGCATCAGACTGACCACTACCATGGACCTAAACCGTCTGTTTGCTTTGGCTGTGTTGTGAGGCCAAGTTCTGATAAGGATGCACTGTGGAAAGAGCTCAGTCATCCTTACACAGGCAGTTTAAAAAAAAGCATTCTCTGAGTACAAAATAACTGTACAGAGGGAACATTTTCTTCAGCTACTGCTGTGTAAATTCAATACTAGCTGTTCATAACCCCAAACAAATTTCCTTTTCAAACAGCTTTCTGGGGAACAGGGCTTAAAACTAAAAAAAAACAGGGAGGCTGGGTCAGAAAATAGTTGTAATCCTCAGGCAGGGGTCAGGAAGTATTTGGCAGGTTCTCAATCTAAGAGGCAGGCTCAAAAAAGTGGATTTATTTGTGAAGAAAATAATTGGAAAATGGCACTTCCATAAAAGCAGGCAGTTGTAGAAAATTCTGTCAGCTAGGAGATCATCTGTATGTGCTATGTTCATAGGTACAGATGTTGTCAATCTCAGTTAACACCTGAAAATACCTTCCTGTCCAGATGTCCTCTGCCACTGCCTGCTGCTGTTACAGCCAACTTATTTTGTAATACCCACAGCAATGGTCAAGGCAGCTTGGGAAGAAATAAACATAATTTTTACACATTTGGGGCTGGACATAGAGTTGGACAGATTTCCCTAGGAAGAGCCTGGCTGGAGCAGTCTGCATTCTTTTAACTATTGCTTTGCAGCCAATTAATTAGGTGGAGTCTAAGGACTCCAAGACAAGTCATACTCCATGCTACCAAAATAGCATTTCATCAAGAGGCTCCATTTCATCAATAGACCCAGGCAAAAAAAGGGGTACTGAGGAAATCAGAGAGGTGGAGCTGGCATGTGCAGGTCCCAGGTCTCTCCTGTTCCCAGGATCAGGATGGGCTTTGGGTCAGGTGCTCTGCTTGGTGACCATGCACACACTCCTGGGAGGGCAAAGTTCAGGCTGTGCCCTCCTCCAGGTAGGATTTCTACTGCACACCTGTGTGTTCTGGAAACAAGGGTTCAGCAGTACTCACTGAGTCCTGAGCTATGCAGTGTTGGCAGTTGCCCTTAACAAAACTTTAGGGTCCTGTCCTTCAAATCCTCTTTCCTTGTAAGGCTGCTATTTTGGCTGCCAGTCTTCCTTTTACTTCAGATGAGGTCCCTCATAAAGAACAGAGGCCTCACAGACATGAAGATATTTGCTGCTTTACTTTTAAGACTGGAATAGTGCAAACTGACCTGAAGCAGGATGGTGTCTGGGGTGTATCTCTCTTTCCAGTGGTCCAGGAAGACAAAATCCAGAGTATCCACTTCATATTTTTTTTTCAGCTGGGGGATAATTTCCTCTGAAGGGCCTTCTAGGAGTTTTACCTGAAATACAAATCCATGTGATGAATTGTGAACCATTAAGAGAAATCACATGCTCCCAGCTCATTTTAAATTGTAGCCAGACATCAGGAATCATGTTTATAGCTCAATATTGTGTCAGTTGAATTATTTGGCAGGGTTAGGTCAAATATATCTTTTTATTTTTGACAAATCAACTTGGTTAGGTTTCAAAATACGAATTTGGTTGGTTTGGATTTTGTTGATTTTTAAATTAACAACAGAAAAGGTGAACCTGTGTTTTTGTTGTATAATGTGTGTCTTTACTGGAAACATGGAAATCTGTTGAAAACAGTGATTTTATTTTTTTTTTTTTTTTTTTAGTTACATCTCAGTTGAGTCTTGTAGTCCAAGGGAAGCAAAAGATGCAGAGAACAGGTTAGGTTAGAAAAAAGATGGAGGCTACAATATGTAAAATTTATACAGCCAGGAGAGGGAAGAGACAGGACAGAGGCTGTTAATCTTCCTCACAGGTTTATTGGAGTTACTACTGTTAAACTGGAAGCAGCTGCTGCACGTGGATTTTTGTGAGGCAAGCACCATATGCCCTGAGAGGAGGAAGAAAGCGGTAAGGAAATGTCTGTTTTATGACTCATAGCTGATCAGGAGATTAAATCAGATGGGGAAATGCAGTTTTAGATGTACTGGTACTTCAGGTTCTCTTCAAGAAGTTAAGAAACACATTAGAAGGTCCCTTGGTGTGGTTTATTTCCTCCAGTTTCCAGCTCCACTGAAGTGAGATGTCTGCTGAATAGACAGGCATGAATCTCCCAACTGGGGGGGATATAGACTGGAAACACCTGCATCTCAACCAGCTATACAGAGTCAAGACACCCCTGACTGCACAAAACTTAGATATGGGTACTGTGACCAGCTAGATTTGGCTAAATGCTTCTCATTTGAAGTCCATTGCACAAAATACAACTGATTCCTGTGACCTTTTGTAACAACTTGGACTGTGGTTCAGTTTTTTGTAGTTGGTCTTGACACCAATTTGATCCTTTTAGTTTATATTGAGAAACCCAGTATTCTGGCTTTTGGAAAGCAATGTAGTGAAGTCCTGCTGGGAGAGGTCAAGCACTGTAACTAAGCATGGAGCTGGTTAAATTTATAAGGTCCATGTGTAAAAGAAAAAAAAAAAAAAAAACAGACCAAAACCAAAATCTCAGCAGTTTTGCTGTAGTGGTTACAGACAAATGGTATTTACCTTATCTTGTACTCCAGCAAACTCAATCATCTGTTTAGCTATAGCAGCAAATTCTGGGTTGAACTCCACAGTGAGCAGACGAGCTCCTGCCTTCAGCAGCCGAGAAATCCTCACGGCAGAGTAGCCACAGTACGTTCCCAGCTCCAGGGCAACTGATGGATTGGCCTCTTGCACTGTCTTGTCCAGAATTTTACCTGATCAAAATGGGAAAAGATTACATTTTGACAAAACCAAACTAGTTCATATACAGAAGAACAAGTTAGTGACAAGAAACTTTAAAAAACCATGTACTCAGTTGCTCAAGACATTAAAATATTAAGAGCTGATGTCAAATTATATAGTGTGTCCTTTGGAAACTGGCCTGTGATCAAGCTAATCATGGACATTTTAAGTTTCCAAGTGCAAACTTTCAACTTAAAGAAATCTTAGTTTCACAACATTTCTGAATAAGGAATTCCCTGAATTAATTTATATTCCCTGAATATAACTTCTGTAATTCCCTGAATCAACTAATTTATAGTGTTAGAAGGGGGAAATGCAGTATTTTTTTCCAAGAATTTACTACAGAAACCATATTTGTGAAATATATAACTCCTGAATTTTGAGTGCTCATGTTTGTTGCTAATGTTACATGCTGTTGTCTGATATAAAATTTCTTATTCCAAATACTCATCTTTAAAGGAAAAGTCTACTTACAAAGCTGCAAAATATTTGGTTTCACTGCATGAATTTGTGGGATGGAAAATATTAGTCAATTGTTAACAACATAAAATGCTCCCAAAAAGAAGTGACAGTGACTATATTCAGTCCTTTTAAAGGAAAGGATTTATTTGTGAGAAATTTCCTCTTATTTATATGACTAGAAACCAGATAACTAAACTCAAAAAGTAGTGGAAGGGATTTTATGCTAAGCCATGGTCATTAAAGGATATTTTTCTGGGTGCTATTTATTAATATGATGATGAGGCATCTTGGGGCCATGTAGTCACTCTTGAAGTCTCAGAGACTTTAGCTTTGATGGCTTTTATCCGAGGAAAGGCCATTAGAGCAAAATTAGAGTGAAATTATTAAGAATTTGATCACAAATGTTCAAAATTTAGAGTTTTAGGTATTCCTACTCAGCCATGACCCCCAGTTCTGCTCCCCTAAGCACCCCAGCCAGGTATGCTGAGGAGCTACTTTAAAAACTGTACACATGTCAGAAGAGCATTTTTATCACAATGCTTACAGTTGTTTTTCATTAGCTATGTTAATCCCAGACTAAGCAAATTTCCCCAGAAATTTCCCAGCAAGAGGTGCTTTTGTTTCTAATTCATAAGGGAACATATTAACATTTTGCCACTATAGTTTTTTGAAAAGATTGCTGTTTTCCTGCAGCTATGAAAAAAAGGTTTTGTTCTCATATTTTTCTTTAGGAGACAAGAACAAGATTATTTACTTGCTAAATAGCAACAATGTCTGACATTGTATGACATGGATAGGACTTCTCCCTTCAACAGAAACTTCCAATTTATGCTTGCATATACAAAATTCATATAGTTAAAAACAATTTTGGGGTTTTTTTCAATTTGCTATCTTGCTGTTAAGGATCTGAAAGTATTTAACATAATGAATTATGCCTTAAAGGCACCCTATATAAAAAGTGATGTATAATGCAACCCTAGATTTTTCTCCTAAGTTGCCACTCTGCTTACACACTTGCAATGTGCACAACACAGAAACCCACAGCTGGGGCTGTGACTTTCTGGATGAGTCACTGGAGACCTGTCCTCAAGAACATCTGCATGAGCAGGCACAACTGATCACAGAACTACTCTGCTGACCCCAGGCTGTGTGGGTTGGGCTTTTTGCCATGTGAATACAATCAGATGTCCTGTACTGTGCTAGTCTTGAGGGATCTTTTCAGATGCTGACCCCTGCTGCCATTACCTTTCTCATCACCCACGTTCATGGCCCACTCCTTCTGGGAGCAGTATTTATCTATAGTGTCCACCACACTGTGGGGGTCTCCTCGCACTGCATTCTGCAGCACAAAATTTAAAATCCTCTGTTCTTTGCTCTGGTTCATGATGAAATTGGTTACTTTCTCCCGGATTATTTCATTCCAGATAAGGGCAGCAGTGGCATTTTTCCTGATGAGCAACACAATGAGCAGCAAAATGAAAAGCAGGATGAAGACACTGAACAAAGGGACTGAAGAGATCTCCAGCATCTGGAAGAAAAGAGAAAAACAACCTAGGGTTAAGGTGGCACAGGATAGGACTGTCCTTTTTGTAAATACTGAGCTAAATAACCCACAACCAACTTACTGAACAGGAACACACAGAGTTTAATTATGATTGTGTCTAAAGTAGCTGTAAAAGGCTCTCTGACCCTTGGTAATGGATGGTGCTCTGTAGCACTTCCTTTAGAAGCCAATTTTACAGGCAGTCAACAAGTAGCTTTATTTAATGCTCTGGTCCCTTCCCCCACACAGCTGCTCAGTCCTGGCTCCAAGCATGCACTGCACAAGGAGCTTCCAGCATCAAATCTGTTCTAGCTCCAACAGGAGCTACAACATCCTCAAAAATTTTGCCTAAATTGCCCAAGACCAATGACAAAGGGATTATCTCATTCTAGGAGATAACATTCCTACAAATGTCTTCCTATTTGTTCTTGCTTCTCTTTATTGTTTCCCCAAATATTGTCCCAGAAAAATCCTATTTTTAAGGATGGTCTGACCTCCATTCTGTAGTGGGATTTGGCTTATACACATGGGGAAAATCTATCCCACTACTTAAATTTTGAATCATCATGCAGAACATATTTTGACTTCAGAAGATGACTGAGTTTCCATGGAGATATGCTCAAGATACAGTACAGCTGATTTTGTTCCGTCATTCTCTTATCTTAGTTGCAGAGCAAGTATGATTTGTTTGGAGCTGTAAAAAGTCGATTTCTTTTGCTTTTAAGCAGTCACCAATGTTAACAGTTACCCTTAATGCTCTTCTTGCAAAGTCTGACCTGAGATGTTTCCTTTCAGAGCCTGCCAGCATCATTAGCACATTAATATCTTGTTTCTTGGACCTTCTGAGTATTTTTTTCCTAGGTAATATGAGCCTGCTTCATAACTTCAACAGGATTATGAAGGCCTGGACGTCAATTTTTCTTCTTTCCCTCTGTGCAGAAGTAGTTCTACTGACCAGGCCCAATTGTCCTGCACCTTTCAGATGGGACTTCAGTTCTTTTTAGTTTTTCAACATGAAAATTTTTGACATTATGGGTCCACTAAAAACTTGGATAGGGCTGTGGAAAGAGCATTAGTTTAACATTAAGTATCTCTCTAGCTTCACTTGACTGGCCTTTACTTGACTTTCATGGCTTAGTTGATTGTATGGTTGTTGTTGATGGATTTGGATTACTGACACAGGTGAGAGATAATTATTCTGAACTCCAATGAATGGATGGAGCCCAGAAAACACTTCCTAAGGCCAGCAGATCTCTGACTCTCCTGCCTCTGGACACGTGAAGCTGTGACCCTGCAGACCTGTGACTCACTTGGTGGCAGTCCAGCTCCAGTCAGGTCCCTGGCACTGAGGAGTGCTGGCATTCAGAATTCCTGCAGGCACTGCCAGACAGAGTTCTCTGGTTACAATGGACACTCTGGCATTCTCTGGGCAGACCCTGCCACAGGCTGTTTGTTCAGCACTGTGAGATCCTGCCAGCACGTTTGGGGCTGCCCTTCAAAGCTCTGTCAGACAGCAGGAGTGCATGGGAGCAGCAGGATGAACTAGGTAGGCTATTTTTTGGGGGAACAGCTTTCCTCCTTTATTGCTCAGCATTGATATGAGACCATTTAATGAGATTTCTCTGAAGCGGGAGAGACAGCCTCTGTAGGCTAACTCAGCCCTGCTCCCTGTCCTGCAGGAATGCTGAGACTTCTTTTTCAGACTGACTGAATCAAGAACTCAGAGGGATCCACTTTTTTCCAGTGCCTCAGCTCTTTGCACTTGAATCCACATGAATGCTACCACACTTAAGAGCAGAGCCCACCTGCCTCCCCAGAGGTTGGTCACAGGTAGAAACAACCTACAGAGTACCTGCTGATTTTTCTATTCCTAGATGAATTCACTTATTTTTAAAGTATCAAGGAATGTTTTTCAGCTACTGGGTTTTTTATTAATAATATTTCTGTATAACACACCAGCACCTTCATAAACTGGAAGTATGGGTTGTTCTTAGCAGAATTCCTTCAGGAGGCAATTATCCTGAAAACCACTTTCCAGAGAAGGTACCTTCTAAAAAGAGAGAAAAGGACACTTTTGGTTTTATTTTCACACAGTATTTTTCAAAGTTTGTCCCTCTTAATTTCTGTCTTCTTAGGTGTGAAAATAAATTTAGTGACAGCAGTGGACTGTAAAGGCATTCTGCCAAGAGCAAGAGGCATGGTGATGGTCATGTACCCAGAGGGAAAAAAGATCTGTACCAAAATAGGTAATTGCTTTCATATTCTTAGCTGGAAAATATTTGATATGAAAATTAAGTGTGTAATTCAACCAATTTAAAACTAGCACTACCTAGGAGACAGCCGTGTTATGACAGCTTTAGAAAATGCAACAGTAATTTTAGTTTTAATGTGGATTCATGAGATTCATTAAGTATGCAATAAAAGTTGCATACAGTCAAGCTTCCCATAACCACTTATTACAAGGCAGCCACTCTCATTATTTAATGCTTATACTGAGGTTCCAAATACACAGGTTAGCACTGCAACCTCTTCTGTGCTTCAGAAACACCATAATAAAGGGAGCCTTCTCTTTGAAAGCTAAAATTTGAAGTGGAAAATAGCAGGCAAATGAAAAATTCAGCAAGGGAATAAACAGAAGACTGGAGGGATAACATTATGGGAAGGAATGAATAACACGTATCAGTACATCTGGTTTTGAGAAGACAGAGTTTAAAAGAAAACATATTAAAATTTCATGCCCAAACCTGTCAAACTACTGATGAGTCTTTCTAAAGCACTGAGTTATTTTCTTATGCATCTAATCTTACTCATTTTGGCAGTTTCATAAGACCAAATCATAACTTGATAATGCAGCTCAGCAGTTTTCCCCTGACGTACACCACAATCAAACAATCAGCATTTGAATGGGAGTACCTCTGCTTCAGTTTACAGAGATTTAAAAAGACATTTTCAAAGAGAGAAGCAGACAGAAAATGTGGGAATCTGCTGCCCCAACTTACCTGCCTGTGGAGATGAAACACCTAAGTCATTCCAATGGCTTTAAAAGAAACCATGAAAACTGGCTCAGACTTAGGGATCTGCCATTATGCCAATAGATGTTAAATTAGGGGATTCAGTATCCCCTTACTATCATATAATCTTCAGTTTTTCTAAAATCATAAAAATGCCCATGTGATGGAGCCCAAACCAATACATCCTGTTCTTTATTCTCACTCCAGCCATTTCACCAAAGGTTGCAATAAGGATTTCAGTAATGCTATTTATCAATCTTTTTGGTACATTTTTCCAACCTCTGCTAAAAAAATAATTCCTCCTCAAATTCCCTGACATGAAAAAATAAGGATTAGAATAATTGGTAACATCAATTTTTAAGGTAAGTCCAAGTAACCAGATTGATCTTTTTCAGTGTTTCATAAAAACTGTACAAAAGTTTCCATAGCACCATTGGAGGAAGGTGATGCAAACTACTGATTGCAACTTCTCTGATTCCAAACCAACATCCCTTTGCTAAAAACTGATGTTTATTGAGAAGGAAAAAGCATGTGAAAGTAAGCACCTTTAAATGGCCTAAGTTTTAACAAAAGCATATACCATAGTGAGATTAACTCAGTGGATTAAAGAAGTATCAAATTTGACTATTAAACTATTCTGAAGCTTACATTTCACTACATTATGAATAATTAACAAGATGTCATTTCCTACAGATGCAAAAATAAGAGATGACAAATATTGAAATACCTGTGAGATGGAAAACTGCTGGATAGAACATTTTTCTAATCAAGGTGAATCCTTCTAAGCCTAATTACAGAGCTTCACATTACAGTTTCAGCTTGGATAAACTGATATTGCTTCGCTTTGTACTGAAAATTAAGTCCTAAACATTATCACAAAAAGCCCCACCCCTTTTGTACAAAGACAGCACATACATTAGCCTGTTATTCTCCAGGGCTGGAATGAGCAAACTTTGTGACCCTGAGCCAGGGCACTTAGCTGTGAGTCTCATTTTGGCAACGTTTTTCTAATCTGGCCTTGGATGAGCTGTCTTATCTTGCTCTGTGTTGCCACAAGAGTTAAAGTGACTGCTACGTGTGTAAACTTTCAATTGTAAAGCTGAATAAATCTTTTGCAGAGAAGTCCCTGCTATGAATGTATGGGTAACACCTGAGGAAAGGCAAAGTAGTTTTGTCTGCACAGCAAATGCCTATGTGGCATTATTATTCTTGAGTTTATGAACAACTGGGAAAATGTGGAGACAAGCAGTGCTTCAAATGCTTTCCCAAAGGCTTCCAGCCAGCTGACAATTCAGGCCTTTGAGGAAAGATGGTACAGGCAGTCTTGCTGTAATTTTTCATGCATTTAATCTAAGTGCCAAGTGCTGGTTGGTTGTTTAAGAGTTCATTACCAGTCTCCACACATCCAGACAGTACTTCAGCATTCTGGTGCTAAAGGGTTTTGAATCTAATTTTGACTTTATTAACTCACATAACCTGGTGAATGGGGAGAACTTGATAAGTTTATATCATTCAACCTTTTTCAGCCTCTGCTGAAATGATGCCTTTAGACACTGATGCACTGAAGTAAGCAGAGGATTTGCACACTAGGAAGGGTATATTAGCTGTTTGTGAAGCACTGTGAAAACAATGCAGAAGAGTCAGCACATTTCTACACATATTCTAACAATGCTCTGCACTAGGCCAGAGGATATCTGTGCTGTGCTGGGACTGGAGTTTCTGACTCTTAGTCCTGTGCTGTCTTGAATGAGGCAATCTCTCTTTTGTGGCATTTTGTTTTTCTTGATGTTTTCCCAGAGAAAGAAAGGCAGAGTATTTTGGTCAGAAAGTCTAAGCTAACTTCTGCCAAACATATTGTATCCTGTTGCTGTAGGCAACACAATTCAACAGCTTCGTAATTTAGTACATTTAAAGGTCAAAAAAAGTCTTTTTACCTTCTATTCTTTTGTTACTGTTTATGTATTTTCAAGTGAG